CACGTATATATTACATATATATATATATACATATATACATATATACATTATACATACATAAATATACATACACTTATATGTTTGTTTGTGTGTGTGTGTTTACATATGCATGCATAGTCTACATACAGAACAGAGGAGAGGAGGAAGAAAAGAATCGCCTCCGATGTTTTTCTATTTCCATTTCCTTCAAGATACTTAAAAGTCTTTGCATGAGGTGTGAAGGTCGTCGCATAGGGCGCCTGACTCGCATGTCGAAAGCCCGGTGGTTTCCTGTACGATAAAGTAAGGCGCCGCGGTTGTGCTCCGCCGCCCCCGTTGTTTACCTTCCTCGCGCCACCTGGCCAGCGCCTCTCTATTTTTAGCGGCGTCGGAGAGGCGACGTGTCCTGACGGAGGGAGATCTGGGTCGCGGAGGGAGGGGCGGCGCGGCGGACGGGGTAGGCCTACAGATGAAGCCACGTAAACAAAGTTGCCGGAAGAGGTTAGCACGCGGCGCGGGTGGCGCTCAAGGTTAAAGGCTCGGGGGGATTAGTCACCCACTCGCGAGCCTCGGTTTTATACGTATTTTATTACTCATCCGGACTCATTTTCAGAGACGTTAGCTCGTACAGACACGCGCATATCCTCGGCATTACGCAAATTAATCTACAAAAATAGACCGCACTTTAACGGTTCTCTTCCCAGAGATCGCTAGGCCTTTACAGACTTCACGCGGATTCCTCCGCATGAAAACCCACACACGTGTATGAGGAAAAAAAAATGCTGATTACATTACATCACAAGAACATCGCGGAAGCAGGGGAACGCGTGCTGATCTTTTGCACCCTTTAGCCAAGTAATAAAAAGTAAACCCTGGAAGGAAGATAACCTCGTGAGAGAAGAGTCCGTGTAGCAGCAGCAGCAGCAGCAGCAGCAGCACAGCAGCAGGGTAGCAGCTTTGATCCGAACTGCGTCTCCTCGAGGGAAAGAGAGCCCGGCTGTGAATAATTAACGCCTCTCTGTTCTTGCGCGATGCCATGGCGGTTTTTCGTGGCGTGTGAGGGTGGGAGAGGCGAATGAGGGCGGGGGGGCGAATGAGGGCGTGAGGGCGACGTGAGGCGGAGAGGCGCCATGAGGGCGGAGAGGCGAGGAGGTATGATGGGCGAGTGAGGGGGGAGGCGAATGAGGGCGGAGAGGCGATGAGGGCGGGGGAGGCGAATGAGGGCTGTGAGGGCGAGTGAGGGGGAGGACGGAGGCGCCAGAGGCGGGAGAGGCGCGTAATGAGGGCGGGGGAGGCGAATGAGGGCGGGAGGCGCGAAGGCGGTGAGGGCGGGAGGAGGCGATGAGGGCGGGAGAGGCGAATGAGGGCGGGAGAGGCGAGTGAGGGCGGGAGATGAGGCGGGAGAGGCGAGAGGCGGAGAGGCGAATGAGGGCGGGAGAGGGCAGGCGGGGAGAGGACGGATGCGACGGTGCTGGAGTTCCGTGCAAATGCAGGAGGACATTCACAGTGGTTGCATTAAGTCCTAAGCCGCAAAATTCTTACGTTTTTGTGTATATTCTGTGCATATATTTAGCTCGGATTTATTGCACATTGTGTTTGTTTGTACTTGTGATTAATATTTACGTAAATTCAGATTCTTGTCCTTGGTATGTTGACAATGCATTGTTAAGTAGTCGACTTGAGGAGAAAAATAATTTTATTTCTCCAGTTCCTCCGTTCTTAATGCAAAGACAGTGTAATTTGCACTTACTTAACAAAGCAACACGCATGACGCCCTCTTTCATAAGCCTCTCTTCCTTTCACACTGCCTCCTCTTTATCTCTCTGTCTCTCTGTCTCTCTGTCTCTCTGTCTCTCTCTCTCTCTCTCTCTCTCTCTCTCTCTCTCTCTCTCTCTCTCTCTCTCTCTCTCTCTCTCTCTCTCTCTCTCTCTCTCTCTCTCTCTCTCTCTCTCTCTCGCTCTTCTCTTGCATATATATATATATATATATATATATATATATATTATATATAATATATAATCTCTTTAGTTTATCATCCTTCATTCTTGTGCTTATTTATTATTATTATTTATTGTTATTGTTATCATCATCATCATCATTATCTCCCAAATAAGTTACGTATTCACGCCGCGACCATCACTTTGATTATGGAAATGAAATTCTCGAAGTGGAAATTCGCGACGAGAATATCCTTTTGAAATCGTCCTCAGGAGAGGCAGTGAGTCCTCTCGTGCTGACTCGGGCCGCCATTCCTCAGCGGCTGAGTTATGCTTGCAGTGGATTCCGATTTTTCGCTTCCGCTGACGAAGGCGCCCGTTATCCGGAGGTGCGCTGGCTCCGGACGCGGCTCCTCCTCGGAAAACGGAGAGCGCGGATTTTTGCTTACGTCATTGTGGGTGTTATTTTCACTTAACTGCAACGTTTTTTTCTCCATATTTTGTTAGAAGCGTTTCAGTCGATGGATTTTCTTTTTACCTGATTTGCACAATTGTTTTTTTTTTTCTGTCTTCACTTAACTTTT